TGTCCTCAACCCCTTGAACTCCTGATCTTTCTGCCTCCTCTCCCTAGTGCTGGTATGACAGGCATGCACCACCACATCTGGGTTTTGTGGTGCTGGGGAGACCAGATTTTTTTTAATTAATTAATTAATTAATTAATTAATTAATTTTTATTTTATGTGAGTGTTATTAGAAGAAGCATTTCACTACAGCTTTAACATATTCAGTATCAATTTCTAGAGCTAGCCACCATGTGGGTACTGGGATTTGAACCCATGTCCTCTGCAAGAGCAGCCAGTGCTCCTAACTGCTGAGCCATCTCTCCAGCCCTGAACCCAGGGTTTTGTACAAACTAGAAGAGGGCTCTACCAGCTGAGCACATCCCTAGCCCCAGAACCTTGTAGCCTTGCTCAGATGATCAAGACCTTACTAAGCCACTTAAACTTGGGCTACAGAACACACTCCCTGGAGCACATAAAGATGCAACAGAAATCTTGAGACCGTCTTTATCTTCACTGGCAGAAAGGATCTGGGACACAGGGGTATCTGCCACCTCACAGTCCCTTCTCCACGTTTCCTGAGACCATCACAACAGGAATTATTTGATGAAGACAAGAGAATAAATGCTCCTGTTCCCTCCTGTCCTCTCCCGCACATATGCTGCGTCCCTCTTTGTGGGCGCTCTGTGGAGCTCATTATATGCGGGAGGGAAAATAATTTCCTGTGTGATGAGGCTATGATGAATAATTCACTCTGCTTTTACTGAAATGAACCTGTATTGGGTTGTTGTATGCTGACAGATTCTCAGAAATATGAGCTGCCGTGTCAGCCCCAAGATGGTTGTGAGTCCAGGCTGAGAAGGAAAGCCAGATGGGTCTTGAGGGAGCTGAGAAGGGATAAAGTTATTTCATTAAGATTTCTTGGGCCTGGAGAGATGGCTCAGTGGTTAAGAGCACTGGCTGCTCTTGCAGAGGACCCGGGTTCTATCCCTAGTACTCACATAGCAGCTAACAACCATCCTTAACTCCAGCTCCAGGGGACCTAACGCCCTCTTCTGACCTCCTCGGGCATCGCATTGGTATAATGCCTTTAATCCCAGCTCTCCTGAGGAAGAAGCAGTAGGATTCTGTGAGTTTGAAACCAGCCAGGGCTACACAGTGAGACCCTGTCTCAAAAAACAACAACAAAAAGATTTCTTCAACAGTCAGAATTTAAATGTGTGTTGTGGGGGGAAGAGGGGGATGGGTGATGGTGGTGCACTCATGAGCATGCCAGAAAAGGACACTAGATGTCTTCCTCTATTGCTGTCCATATCATTCTTTTTTTGGCAGGGTCTCTCACTGAACCTGAAGCTCGATATTTCAGCTAGATGCACTGTCCAGCGGGCTCCAGGATCTGCCTGTCTCCTCCCCTCAGTACTGGGGTTACAGGCATGGTTGTAGATGGGATTTCCATGGGTGCTAGGGATGTGAATTCAGGTCTTCTTGCTTTCACAGCAAATACTCTAACTCATCTCACCACCCCCAAACAAAGACTTCAAAGAAAAATTTCTGTAGATGTTATATTTATTAACATTCTGAAGCAAGTCTAAGAAACAACATTTAACTCTTTGATGAATTAAAGTGGTCAGTGTATGTTAGTCTGATTGCTTGAGATGGGGATTCACTATGTAGCCTGGGTTGACTTTATCTCACAATCCTTCTGCCTCAGCTTTTTGAGTGCTGGGATTATAGGTCTGTGTTAACATGCTTGGCTGAAATGTTTTTGTTGTCGTTGTGTGTAGATTATTTTTTGAGACAGTCTCATGTAGCCCATGCATCTTCAAACTTACTTGCTAGGTAGGCAAGGACGACCTTGAATTCCTGGATCCTCCTGCCCCCAGCTCCCCAGTGCTGGGATGACAGGTGTATACCACCGTGCCTGGCTGAAAATGGTTGTCTTTAAAAGTATGGTAGGATACCACTCACTAGTATGGACTAGCAATCTGGTATCCAGCCTTACCACCTGGGCCTTTGCTTTATTTAGTGTCAATTACCCAAGATCAACCATGGTCCAAAATTACCACGTAGAAAATTCCAGAAGCAAGCAATTCATAAATTTGAAGTACATTTCATAAAAGTATATCATTATAATAGTTGTCCTTCTTTATAAGTAGATGCTGCTGAGTCTCTTACTGTACCAAACTCATGAATTAAGCTTGGTCATATGTCTGAAGAAGAACACACAGTATCTGGAGGCCAGGAGCAGTGGTAAACACTGTGAGGCCAGCATTCAGGAGGCTGAGTAAGCAGAATCAGATTTGAGGCCAGCCCGGGATACAGTGTGAGATCCTGCCTCAAAACATAGAAAAAGAAAGGGGGATGGGGAGGAAGGGAGGAAGGAAAGGAGGAAGGGAGGGAGGAAGAGGAGGGAGGGAGGGGAGAGGAGAAGAGAGGGAGGAAAACTGCTTAAGAGCAGTATTTCCAGCTTAGTTCGGGTTTTTTTTTTTCTGAATCTTAGAATATTTGCGTGCATGTTACTGGTTGAGCATCTCTAATTTGAAAAGCACAAATACAACCCTCCCAAATCTGTATCTTTCTGAGCATGGTGTGTACTGGGAATTCATTAGGGATGCTCAGTTTATAAGGGGTCCAGTTCTATCTGCAGTTTCTAGTATTTGCAAAACTTCTTGTATAGTATCCACTATAGGTAAGTGGGGATGATCATAATAAGGACCGAACTGGACTAGAGTGACCAGAATTCAGTTCTTGTGGCTCGAGGTGTGATGATTAATATTAATTATCAACTTGACAGGATCCAGAATCACCTAGGAGGTACACTTCTCTGGATGTCTGTGAGGGAGTTTCTAGATTTAGTTAACTGAGGCTAGTGGCCAGCACCATCCCATAGTCTGGGGTCCTGGACTGTTAAAGGAGAAAGTGAGCTGAGCACCAGCATTCATCTCTCTCTGCTTCCTGACTGTGGATGACATGTGAGCAGCTGTCTCACACTCCTGCTGCCATGCCTTCCATGATGGACTGTACCCTCAAACTGTGAGCCACAATAAACCCTCCCTACTCAAGTTGCCCCTGTCAGGTATTTTATCATAGCCACCAGAACTGTAACTAATACAACAGGTAATACCATCATTCCAGATCACAGTTCCTTCTCTACAAAATAGGAAAAGCCAAGACACTTATGTCACTGGCTCTGCAGGGCTGAGTTCACCTCCTTGACCTGATGATTTCTGATTATGTGCATGTGTGCACATGAGTGCAGTGCCCACAAGGGCCAGAAGAGGGGCATCAGATTCCATGGAGTTGGAATTACAGGTAGTTGTAAGCTACCTGATGGTGCCAGGAACCAAACTTGGGTCCTCTGCAAGAGCAACAAGTGCTCTTAACCACTGAACCAACTCTCCAGCCCTGAGTTGATATTCTTACCCCTGAGTTATGTGTAGTACCTAAAACAAGTCTCAAAGTCAGACTTCTAATCTTTAAAATGGGCATCATATTAGATTTAGAAAAAGCTAGCATTTGTTGAATAACATGTGCTAAGGTTGATTCTACACCCCTATTTGGTCTTCACTGTAGCCCTATGGGGTGAACATTAACAATTTATGTTCTGAGGATGAGATAAACCCTGGCAGAATGCTCATTTGTTAGGATTTTGCTATGAGAATTAAATGAGATGGTGCAAATAAGGAATGTATCAAGTATCTGGGATGTAAAAGTGCTCAACAGAGGTTACTGGACTATGTAATAAGAATATATAAAACCCTGGATCAGCGGGATGGCTCAATAGGTAAAGATGTTTGCTGCCAAGATGGATGACTTGAGTTCAGACCCTGGAACCCACTTGGGGAGGGAGAGAACTGAATTCTGCAAGTTGTCCTCTGATTTCCATATGGATATCATCACACCACCTCCCACATGCAAAATAATAAACAAACAAATAAATTTTAAAAAGTATGTAAAATCATTTAGTGTTCAATGACTACAAAGTAGTAAGGGGGAGTTTTCAATTCTTCAGGATGTACTTAAGCAATTCTAATAAGTCAGGCCCCATGTTACAAGCCCATCCTTCCAGTCATTTAGGAGACTAAGGTAGGAAGATCAAGAGTTCACAGTGAGCCTGGGCAACTTTGTGAGAATCTGTTTCAAAATAAAAAGTAAAAAGAGGGCTGAGGGTATGACTTGGTGGAAGAGGTCTTGGGTAGAATCTCCTAGTGAGGGGTTAGGGGTGTGGCTCTGTCACAGGGCACCTGCCTAGAATCTTCCAATGAGGGGCTGGGGGGATGGCTCAGTGGTAGAACACTTGCCTAGCACACACAAGGGCCTCGGATCAACCCTGGATCCTGAAAAATTACTAACAACAACACAAATTTTATAGGTTTATCTTCTACTCACTCAAACCCTGTACACATTCACCCCTACTATTGTTTCTGAGTCTCCACATTGCTCAGTAAAGTACAGAGAAGGTGAGAATATTAGGTCATGATTTCATAAATAGCAAGAGGTGGGATTCCAACCAAGCTGAGCATAGGCACCAGTACACTAGCATCTTTCTGGGAGCCCATAGTAACAGGAGATTTTTCTGAGTCCTCAATTAGAATGTGTCACGGTACTAAAGAAACAAGAGACACAGCCTTCTGAAACAGCTTGTGCTGTAGGGCAACTGGGGCTCCACAGGTGCTCACACGGCAAGTGAAGAAGAGGGCTCGGGTTCTGAAGCCTGGGGAAGGTCCTTCTGAATAGTGTACGCCCAGGATAGAGAAACATTAATAAGATTTGAATTAACGTGATAAAACCTGCTGATCTTTGTAAGTGGATTTAACCTTTCTGTTGTTTCTGCCCCAGCCTTAAGAAGAGGTTCTAACAACACTCAGACATCTATGAACCTTCCAAAATGTGTCTATAATCTTCCACTATGAGTATTTGCTGTGAGTGGGGAGGAATCACTGCAGTATTAAAGGAATCTTTGGCTTGAGCTGACAGCAAAGCTTATTGTCCTAGGTTGATGGGGAAGTGCTGCTGGTTCCTACCTCCAGTGGCAGATTCCATGCTATGTACACATGAGACTTGTAGTCATCCATCCAGACCTCGGCCACCCTGAGTGCGTTCCTCTTGGTATAGAAGCCGATATTGCTGTTGTATGGCTTCTTCTTCCGCTCAATGTGGGCCACCCTCGAGCATGGAAGGACCTCCATACTGCCACCGCATAGCCACACCTGGAGGTACAGAGAGTTTATCAGTGTGGCAGAGGGTATTCCAGAGGCCACCGCACTTCCCTCAACCCACATAGCAATGGTTGAATCAACGTGGCACAGGTGAATGTTTTAGTTTGCTTTCTGTTGCGGTGATAAAACACTAACATAAAGGGAGAAAAGAGTTTATTTGGCTTACACTTCCAGGTCACAGTCCATCATTGAGAGAAGTCAGGGCAGGAACTCAAACAGAAACCATGGAGGATGCTGCTTGCTGGCTCACTCACAGGCTCATGCTCGGCTAGCTTTCATGTACAGCCCAGACGACCTGCCTAGGGAGTGGTGCCAACCACAGTGCGCTGGACTCTCCTGCATTAATTTAACAACCAAAAAAATGCCCCAGAGACCAATCTGCCTGGGGAAATTCCTCAATAGAGATTCCTTTCTCAGGTGAATCTAGGCAGTGTCAAATTGAGAGTTAAATGTAACCAGGACAGCAAATGTGATGGTTAATACTGTCAACCTGACAGGATCTAGAATCACCTAGAAGACAAACCTCTGTGCAGGTATGTGAGGGAGTTTCTGATATGGACAGACCTACCCTGAATGTGGGCAGCACCATCCCACGGGCTGGGGTCCTGGACTGAATAAAAGGAGAAAGAGAGCTGAGCACCAGCATTCATCTCTCTCTGCTTCCTGACTGTGGATGGGATTGAGCAGCTGCCTCACACTCCTGCCGCAATGCCTTCTAATCATGATGGACTGTGCCCTCAAACTGTGAGCCATAGTCCTAGGTTGATGGGGAAGTTGCTTCTTCTCAGGTGTTTTTCCACAGCAACAATAAAAGTAACTAAGACATCTCACTATGCTCAACTTGTCCAATTTCTTATTGTTTGCCTCTTTTATTATTAGCTGAAGTCAGGATAAAAAGTTCTTAAAGTCAGAGTTGTTCTCTTCTTCTCTCTCTTCATCCTCTATTTTGAGCCCCAGTGTTCAAAGGCTCATTCCTTCCCTGAGCTCCATGTAGAACTGGTCTGGAAACAGCCACTGGGCATGGATGAAGGAACTGGACAGAAGAGTCTCTGTCTTTGTCTTATTTCCTCCAGGGTGAAGGTATGTGACGCCAAATAAGTCACTTGTCTAAGCCAACATCCATATCCAGCCTCACTTCTTCAACTATAGGATAAGGTTGTACCATCTATCTGCTTCACCTCAGAAGTGTTGTGACAGCTATTTGAGACAATCTATTCCAAGCTAGACTCAAGAATTGGACTTGGGGGGCTGGAGAGATGGCTCAGTGGTTAAGAGCATTGGCTGCTCTTACAGAGAACCCGGGTTTGATTCCCAGCATCCACATGGTAGCTAACAGCCATTGGTAACTCCAGTTCTAGAGAAATCTGATACCCTCATCTGACCTCTGCGGGCATTGAACGACACAGGTGCATTTCCATACATGCAGGCAATATACTCATACATAAAAAATAAAAATAATAAAATCCTTTTAAAAAGAGAGAATTGGACTTGGATTATAAAACTGCCTCTTTCAACCCTAATCCCAACCTGCCTTAGCTGACCTCAGGCATCATAAACTCTCTGTGTCTTAAGGTCTTAGTCTAGAAAGACAAATAAGGGACTGGAGAGGTGGCTCAGCAGTTAGGAGCACTGGCTGCTCTTGCAGAGAGCCTAGGTTAGGTTCCCAGCATCCAGATGGTGACTAAAAGTCATCTAGAACTCCAATTCTAAAGGATCCAATGCCCTCTTCTGGCCTCCACAGGCATTGCAAGCATATGGTGCACTTGTATGCAGGTAGACAAAACATACATACACATAAAAAGAAGAAATAAGATATTTGAAGACAAATAATAGCCCTCTCAGGACTCATGGGAGACCTGTGAAAGGTCAGATGGGTTCATTTTTCAGCTGGTGCCATCTGAGGATAGTTGGACCATCTACTGGGTGGAGTTTCTGGAAAGTTTCTCCTTGATCAAGTCTTGTGTTAGCTGGTGTACTGATGAACTGTCCTGACATGTACTGTCCCTTCGCAAACCTCCAGGTCCATGACTAACACTTATGGGGGATGCTTCCTTCAGAGTCTGGCTAATATGGGCTAGGAGATGGCCCAACTGTTAAAGCACTTGCTTTGCAAATGTAAGGAACTGAGTTCATATCCCTAGGCCCCACCTACAAAGCTGGGCTTGCATCAGTGAGACAGGAGGTGGAGACAGGCGGACACCTGGAGGCTCAATGTTCAGCTTAGCCTGGCTCACATGGTGAAGGTCCAGGTGAATGAGAGTCCCTATCTTAAACAAAATGTGGACGGTACTTGGGGACTGACATACAAACTTGTCCTGTGACCTCTGCATAGATGCTATGCATGTGTACTTTCATACATATGCACTCGCCTACGTAACACATGAATTACTTAAAGAAATGAAAAATGAACCTAGTTAATGCTGTTTTATACATGGTTCTTCTTCTTGAGGCTGAGCCATGGTCTCTCTTCCTCAAGGATGTCTCATGTCAGGCATCCTCCGGACCAGGCCTGCAGCCCTTAGGTCACCCAGGAATGATACATCTTCCTGATTCCTGCTAGGGATGAGCCCACCTGACTCTGCTGTTTTGTAGGGAGGACACTGCTGTTCCCTACAGAAGTAAATCTGACCTTTCTTCTTAGGAGAGTGCCAGATATTGAGACTCTAATTGTAAAATTCTTTTTGAAATATTTTTTTGTGTGTATGTGTGTGTCAGCATGTTGGTTTGTGCGTCATATGTGTGCAGCACCCACAGAGGCTAGAAGAGGGTATCAGATTACCTGGAGCTGGAGTTACAGGCAATTGTGAGCCAACCAACGTGGGTGCTGGAAACTGAACTTGGGTCTTCTGCAAGAGCTACAAGTGCTCTTAACTGCAGAGCCATCTCTACAGTCCCTCTAATCAGAAAATGCCAAAGAAGTTGACAGGTCAGCTAAACCAAAATAAGACGCTCGAAATATGATTTTATCTTCAAATCCATCTATTTTCTCATCTATTTTCAGCAAACTTTCTTCTGAATTCTTATGTACCCAAATCTGAAGTAACAGGAGATTTTGCTGATGTCTCTTAGGAAAGACAAAAACATAGTTTTTCCATGTACATTTGGAAAGTAGAAGAAAAAAAATCATCCTCAGCCAGCGAGACGGCTCCGTGGGTAAAGACATCTGCCACCAACCCCGATGACCTGCCTTCATTCCTAGGACCCACATTGTAGAAAGACAGAACTGACCCCTGCAAGTTGTCCTATGACCTCCACATGCAGGCCATGACATGGATGTTTCCCAAAAATAAATAAATGTAATAAAAAACTAAAACTTCATCCTTATCTAAAAAGGCTGGGTACTGTATCACTTGAACTGTAGAACAAGAAGACTGAACTAAGGAGACAGTATAAAAGATCTGTGACTACCAGATTGGGGGAGAGAAATGATATATATAATGTCTTTTTGAGACAGAGTCTCCCTGTAGCCCCAGCTGTCCTGGAACTCACTATGTAGACCAGGCTGGCCTTGAACTCACAGAGATCTGCCTGCCTCTGCCTCCCAAGTGCTGGGATTAAAGGCGTGCACCACCATGCCCAGCGGGAGATGGTATGTTTTGAATCTAAAAATGTCTTGTGCAGGTCACAGATGCCAAGAGATCAGGAGTGCAACAACCATGTTACCTCTGGAGATAATACTCCACGACACTCCACCTCCCTCCTTTGGCTCTAATAGACTTTCTGCCCTCTTTTCCAGGACACTTCCTGAGTCTTGGGAGAACTCATACAGATGTCATATGGGTTGTGTGATAAAGGCTTTTCAGAGGTGCTGAATTCCTCAAAGAATGGGCTGTTTTGAGGTGGGGCCTGGTTTAAGGAAGTAGGTCACTGTAGGTGTCGCTCAGTGTGTGTGCATATGTATTTGTGAGTATACATGCATGTTCCTGTGTGCTCAGCTGAAAGTGGCTGAATTCCTCAAAGAATGGGCTGTTTTGAGGTGGGACCTGGTTTAAGGAAGTAGGTCACTGTAGGTGTGGCTCTGTGTGTGTACATATGTATTTGTGAGTATACATGCATGTTCCTGTGTGCTCAGCTGAAAGTGTGTATATGTGAATGGAGAGTCCAGAGGTCAGACAGAACCCAGATTAATTTCTTGTGTTGCATCTTTGTGTGTGCACATACACATGTACATGTGTGTGCATGCGGGCGGAGCCAGAGAACTTGGCTGTGGTTCCTCTGACATCATCTACCTTGCTTCCTTTCTATTTTTCCATTTTCCTGTTTGTATGTATGTGTACGTTTGTGTGTGCATGTGTCTATGCGTGCACATGCATGAGTACATGTGTGCATGTGCGTGTGGAGAACTGAGATTGGTGTTGGGAATCATCCTCTATCTCTCATGACACAGGGACTCGCAATCAAACCCAGAGCTTACCCCTAGGGCTAGGCACCCTTTAAGCAATCTTTCCATCCCCACCTTGTATTTTGAGACAGGGTCTCTCACTGTCCTGGAGTTTCTCAGTTATGCTAGGTTGGCTGGCAGAGTCCCAGGGATCCTTCTGTCTCCAGCTCTGGTATTATAAGCATGTGCCACAGCACCTGGTTTTTTTAAATGTGGCCAGTCTCAGGTATGGTTTGAATTGTATATTTTGTACCCAACCTCTTCCTCCCTCTATGTCTCAGCTTCCTGTCTACCATGAAGTGAGAACCCTCCTTCCTGCCATGCTGCCACCATGACATTCATTATGCCTCAAGACGGCTCAGGAACAATGGAGCCAAGTGACCATGAACTGAAGCTTCTAACAAGGAAAAGAAACAATATGAAATTTTCTTCCTTTAAGTTTATTTGCTCAAGTATTTTGTCAGTGATGGGAAGGTGACTAGTGAGAGGGGGTGATGGAACATAGAAGATTTCTAGAGCAGGGAAACTTTCCTGCATGGCACTGTAATGGTGGATACATGTCCACTATACATTTTTCTGAATGCACAGAAAATGAGAGGGGGCGATGGAA